CACACACACACACACACACACACACACACACACACACACACACACAGTGGTACTAGGCAGTGGCAATACATACAAAATTTATTTCCCTGAATTTTATATCCATCTACTTTGTGCTCTTATTTAACTGAAACATCAATTCATATAATAATAGAAATATCTTGATTATTGCTTGTTTTTTTAAAATAGCCTTTTTATTTTACAGTTATCTTAGGTTTACAGAAAAAGTGCAGAAATAGTACAGGATGTACTATGTACCCCGTGTACCCTATGCCCAGTATCCTCATCTTACTTAGTGTGGGGCACTCGTCACAATATGTTATTATTGACTGAAGTCTCCACTTGATTCAGATTTCCTTAGTTTCTTAGAAGCATTTTGCTTCTTTAAAACACTTAGCACATCTTTAGAAACTTCCCCCAGTATGATGCGTATCGTTTAATCCGTTTAGATGTATTCTCAGTGCAGATTTTTCAATAATATTTATGTTTCTAGGTATGCGATGAAGTGCTTGGATAAGAAGAGGATCAAGATGAAACAAGGAGAAACCTTAGCCTTAAATGAAAGGATCATGTTGTCCCTGGTGAGCACAGGAGTAAGTATTCAATTTTGAACACTCTTGGGTTTGTTTGTTTGTTTGGTTGGTTGGTTTTTGTATCAGGACAATTTGTTTAAAATACAGGCATTTTTTTTTCTGGTGAATTATGCGGCTAGCCAGTTCTTGGGGGGATTAGAATTTAGAGCAGGGAGCAGCAGCCTAAGTTAGTATAAAGAATAATTCAGGTATTACCTCTGCCTAATTTGGGAGTTAGGAACGTACTAGCCACCATCGCTGTGCACACTGACAACTAGTCCCTTCAGTGAGTATTTATGACTTCCTTCTTTGTGGAATATGGTTGCAGAGATGGCAGAAAATAATCATATCGATGACAAAAAAAAATCACTTGAATATAGTTAAGAATTGGCTGTGTGACTGAGAAAGACTAACCCAGAAGAGAAAATGTAAGAGAAACGTAGCTCCCATCCTTCACAAACTGATAGAGAGGAAGTGACTTGGCTTAGTCAAACCCCAGTTGTCCCTTCAGGGTGCTCCCCAGGCCGTGTTTCATTTGGAGGGAACCTTATCTTCTCAGCACTTGCTACTTTTACCTGCTGTGGACGCTGGCCTTTTCCATTTCCAGCACTACGTTTCTGCCTGTTGGATGTTTTATTTGCATGTCAGGCTGTCATTTTTAGCCCGGCATGTGTAAAAGCAAGCTTTTACGCTGTGTCATCTTGACTTGCAAAGCAGTGTCCCGTTCTGAATTCGTTTCCTGTTAGTAGTATCACCCAGGATCAAAACCTCGGCTTTTATTTACCTGTACAGATGTATATAAAGGCACCCAGAAAAAACCACCATCCCAGGAACCTGGGCAGTGCCCATGTGTCCTGACAAGTGAGACAGGGGGCCCCGGGGGAGGCGGGATGGTGCTTCCGACTATCATAGCTGGGTTCTAAATAAGGTCATCTTCACACAAAGGTTTTGAAAGACTCAGATCTTAATGGTGACTCAAAAGAATTCCTTTCAGCTAGTTAGCAAGGAACCTGAGACCCAGAGACATCATTTCTTTGCCCAGAGTCCCCGGACTCCCTGGACAGCCCCAGTGTTCTTTTCTCATCCCCTTTGTAGGCTCCATGTTTTGTTGTTTGTCACCTGTATTCATTGTGTTGGTGTTTATATTATTCTAATAGCATTAGTTTTAAGTGGTTCTGGAAAGTCTATTTGCTGTCGAAGCCAATGAATATCATAATTTAGCTCAACTATAACAGATGAAAATGCCATTGCTATAAATGGTAATGTCTAATTAGGGGCCTCTACCTGCCAACGTATGGACATTAAGCATTTCACGTAAGAGTTACCCTGTGTGCACGGCCAAGACTGTAACTGATTGGAATGGAATCTGAGTGGCCTGCACACTGTATTGGAATCAGCGTGAATAGCATTGGCTTCTAGAATCTATTGAAATGTCTGTGTCTTCATTTCAGACATGGATGTGTGTTTACTGCAGATTTTAAGTGCTTTATTAAAATATTAATTTTTAATGAGTTATCTCAAAGCCTTGGATATTTATTCACAGGAAAGCCTATGGAAAAAAATTTTTGGTGTTGGAAAAATATACGTACAATTTTAATTTTCATGTAGCATTTTTGTTTCATTCAGGGGAGGGAGAGTCGTTAAGTAGTAGTAGAGTTCCTCACTGGTCTGCCCATAAGGGAATAAATGAGAAATTGGGGTTATATTGAGCTGCTGCTTTGAGCTAGTTTAAAAGACTTGTTTATATTTTTTATTCAAATATCAAAACTGTTTAGCATTTTAAACATGCGTAAGTATATAATTTAAAGAATTGTAGTAAAGAATTGAAAGAATTGTAATAAAGTTATTTGGAACTGTTTTTGCTAATGAAAGGGGCCACGGTTTATGGGATTTAAGTAATCTTTAGTTTAAAATTGCCTCCTTAGGTGATGCTTTAGATCGGCCTGTATCAGTATGATTTCCTAAGGTGTTGGCATGAAAATGAGCCAGAGTCACCCATCAGAGTTTTCTATTTACTAGAAGGTTGTTTTTCTCTTTCAGTCTCAAATTGAGGACTCCTACTTCTCATCCCCCAAAGAGATAGTAGAAAGTACTGTTCCCAGTTTTATTCTGTAACTTTCGGGTAGTAAAAAGGGAATCAAGGACACGTATGTCCATGACTGGGGGGAGCCGTCAGCACCTTCATTAATTAAGTCAAGTGTTGTTCGTGAGAAGCATTGCTCATTCATTCCTTGATCCATACTTGAGACCTAGATTGTGCCGGGCCCTCGACTACGAGACGGGGGTCCTGAAACCCTAGTTTGGTCCTTGTTCTTATAGAGCTGCATAGAGTGAGAGCAGCTGGTGTTTATTCACAGTCTCACAAATGCGTTGATCGTTGGAACACGTGGCAAGAGGTAGGAAAGACAGGTCCACGGTGCTCAGAAGGCATTTAGCAGGGCGGAAGTATTGTCCACAAACGCTCCTCTGAAGTCAGAGGAGGTGCCGGGGCACGTGTGGGTCCCGAGCACAGAAGTTCTGGGGAGTCACAGAAGGTCGGCAGAGGTGGGGTCAGAAGTGATAGGGTAAGGACCACAAGATGAAGTTGTAAGGGAGAGAGGCAAACAGAGGCCAGACCAGACCAGAAAGAGCTTTCTGGGCCAGTACTGAGGATTTTTAAAAATCTTAAGAGCCGTTGGAAACAAAGTGTTTGAAGTAGGAAGATAACATGATAAGCCTTGCAAGTCTGCAAAGGTTCCTCTGACTGCAGTGTAGAGAAATGTTCTGAAGGATTAGTTTACGGTCTATTTTATCACAGTTTTAAGTTCCTGCAAAATGCAGGCTATTTTGCTCACTAGGTAGGAAATCAAAGAAGACAGTCCCTTGCTGAAGAGCTTTTATTTAGGTATCCACCTGTTCTTATTTACCTAGTTCTTATTTACCTAGTTCTTATTTACCTTGAATTTGTAATCAAGGCAGAACATCTTAACCATAATTATCTTTGAAACCGTACCAACACCATCATTAAACCGCTGCCTGTTTGTCCACTTGGGTCAGTATTCAGTTCTTTGTGTCTCGGACCCCACCTGAGACTCAAGATGGTATCTGCTCAGGGCCTGAGAGATGAGGGATCATGGTCAGCAAATTCTGTAGAGGTAACCAAGTCAAATCCCTTTAGCGGAGCTTTTATTTCATGTTGCTGTGGAAACTTTGCCTTCGTAAGTAGGGTAACATAGGACAGCTCTGCCAAGAGTCCAGGGTCAGAGAGCTGGGGTTTGAATCTTGGCTGGCTACCAAATTCCTTTGTGACCTCAGGCAAGACATTTCCCTTTTAGGGGGTGGGGAGTTTAGTTTCCTTGTCTTTAAAATAAAGAAATCGGACCACGTGATTTTTTTTCTTTCTTTCTTTCTTAAGAGCCCTTTCTACTCCGGTGGCCTATGATTCTAAATCTCCAATTCATGTCCCATCTTAATAACGTAGCATCTTAACTATACTTTGACCTTTTGCAGTTTTCTCAGGGCTGTCATTAGAATGATCATACACCTCAGAAATACCCGCTTTCCTGGAAGAGCCTGGAAATACCCGCTTTCCAGGCTCTTTGTCCTCTGGGTGAAGTGAGTGGAGTTGCTCTCTCAAGCTGGGAAAGACCCAGGCTTTACTAAGTTCCTGGTCCACCCGCTTCTCTGCCCTAGAGATGAATTGTTCATCAGATCAGGAACCAGAGTATGTGGGGAGCCCCATTAAGGAAGAAGCATGATATTTGGAGCAGAATGAGCCATCACCAGCAGACTATGGAAGGGTCTGGTGAAACACTGTTGGGATTGCAAGTAGGAGGGTACCCGCCCACCGAGAACCACATGGCTTTTAACAGATAAAGGGTAACACCCTTATTTTACCTATTTAACGCAAAATATATCTTAACATTAGTAAACACTAACACCTCTCAACAGACCTCTGAGGAAAACTAGGTAACCACAAAATGAATTTTGTAATTCATTCTGGAGTAACTTCCTCCAGAAGATTTGTGGAAATTGAGTTCAAGTTCATGAATCTTGAGCACATAGGAACGTGTTAACACAGATTTATCTGTGTGCCCTTAATCGACAGGTATGAACATTGTGAATTCTGTTTCAGATTATTCTGTTGAAATTTGAATACTTTCTGTGGAATTTAATAATTCTTTGCCTCTGTTAAGAAAGTTGGTTATAGATATTTCATGCCATTTGTTATTTGAATCAGTCGAGTGGCAAGTGTACACTGTATATTTATCTCAATGGACCTAGTTCTAGATCTAGTGGGGCACTGATGGATTTTCACCAGGGAACAACACATGTGTGTATCCAGCACCCATGTCAAGAGATTAAAAGTTGCCGGTGTTCCAGAAGTCTCCCTGTGTCCCTCCCGGCCACTCACCCCACGCCCAAGCTAACTACTACCCAGATGTCTAAAACCGTAATTTACCTTTGCCCGTGTTGAAACTTCATATAAATGTACTCTTTTTGTGTCTGGCTTCTCTCACTCAGTGTTGCTTGTGAGATGCATCTGAGTCGTTGCTCTTAGCAACAGCGCCTTCTGTAGCTAAATAGCAGGGGTCACCAGGCTATGTGTGTGGCCCAGGGACCAAATCTGGCTTGTGTTCACAGCCCATGAACTAAGAATGGTTTTTTCCTTTTTTTTTTTTTTTTTTTTTTTTTGCGTTATGCGGGCCTCTCACTGTTGTGGCCTCTCCCATTTGCGGAGCACAGGCTCCGGACGCGCAGGCTCAGCGGCCATGGCTCACGGGCCCAGCCGCTCCGCGGCACGTGGGATCCTCCCGAAACGGGGCACGAACCCGCGTCCCCTGCATCGGCAGGCGGACTCTCAAGCACTGCGCCACCAGGGAAGCCCGGTTTTTTCCTTTTTAAAGCATTGTAAAGAAAAGAAACAAAGAAGAATATGTGATAGAGACAGGATGAAGCCTGCAAAGCTTAAAATATTTACTGTCTAGACCTTTGCAGAAAATGTTTGGTGGCCCCTGTTCTATAGTATTCCATCATATAAATGTGCCACAATTCGTGTATCCATCCTCCTGTTGGTAGACATTGGGGTTATTTCCTGGTTTGGGCTATTTTGAATAGTGCCATGAGGACCATTCTCGTGTCCTTGGTGCACATGAGTACAGATTCTCGTGCACATGAGTACAGATTGCTGTTGGGTATATACCCCAGGGTAGAAATGCTGGCTCATAGGCTTTGCAGGTAGTGATCAGCTTTAGCAGATCCCACTGAACATCTTGTGAAAGTGGTAGTACCATTCTGCCTTCCCAGCCCCATACTGGAAGTTCCATTAACTCCATACCTTTGTAACACTTGGCATTGTCAGTCTATTTAACGTTAGCCATTCTCATGGGTTTTAGTGATGACACATTGTGATTTTCAATTTGCATTTCTTTAGGGAAAACTGAGGCCTAGCATCTGTTTATAGGCTTGCCGGGCGTTTGATACTCTCTTGCGTGAAGTGCCTACAGTATTATTTTTATTGTTGTTGTTGTTGCTCTTTTGCCATTTTTCTACTGGGTTGTTTGCTTTTTCTTTATTGATTGTTGAGAGTTCTTTATATATTCAAGATATATATGGATCGCAAATATCTTCTACCATTCTGTGACTCACCTTTTTACTCTCTTACTGGTGTCTTCTGAAGAACAGAAGTTCTTACTTTTATTTTGGTCTAGCTTACCAATATTTTTATTGTTAGTGCTTTTTGTGGGCTGTTTAAGAAATCTTTACTTCACCCTAAGGTCCTGAAGTTGTTCTCTCTGGTTTTCTCCCAGAAGCTTTATTGTTTTACCTTGAGGTCTATATCCACCTGGGGTTGAAGTTAGTGTGTGGTGTGAGGTAGGGGTGAACGTCCACAGCTGATTGTACAGGTAGCCTGTTGCTCCGGCACCACTGATTGAAAAGGCCATGCTTTCCCCCCACCCTGCTGGCTCACTTTATTACAAGTTGAATGAGCACTTACATGTGGGTCTACTTCAGGATTCTGTTCTGTTCTACTGGTTGATTTGTCTGTCCTTGGGCTAGTTCCATACCGAATTACTGTTGCTTTACCATAAGTCTTGATATCTAGCACTATGAGTTTTCCAGCTTTATTTTTCTTCAAGTGTATCTGAACTTTTCTTGGCCGTTTACATTTCCATATAAATTTTGGGATCAGTTTGTCAATTTTCATTTTAATTAAGAGTGCATGGAATCTAGAGATTAATCTGGGGGAAAATTGGCATCTTTACAATTGAGTTTTTCTGTCCTCGGCCCTGGTACATTTTTCCACTTTCAAAAGCTAATTTAATTCCATTTTTATTCTCAGTGTTTCAAAACAGTAATACAGATAACATTTCCCCCCCGTGGTATTGTTCTTCCAACCTCAGAATCAGAGATTGAAATGGATACTTGACTAGCCAGGACTGAAGTGTAGACCAACAGAAAGAGTAGTAAGGCAGTAATGTTTTTCTGTAGAATCTGAGTCTTTTGAAGATGTAGATAGAGGAGTCATGATTGAATCAGAGTGACAGAGCACCTTTGAGTTCATCTCTAATTAGCAGTGTTGTGTCTCTGTGCATTTTTCCACGGAACCAGACCCACTTTCCTGGGTCTGTTAAAGTTACCAGGTAGGTGTCTGTGTTTCATGCACGGGGCAGTGGCATGGATTAAAAAAAAAAATGTGTAGATGGTGTTTGGCAGTAGATGCGCTTCCCAGGGCAGCTTTTGCTTTTCTTACGTATATGTTTTTCACTCCAGGATTGTCCTTTCATTGTCTGTATGACCTATGCCTTCCATACGCCAGATAAACTCTGCTTCATCTTGGATCTGATGAACGGTAAGCAAGCCTTGGGAACTCTGAATACACTGCAAGACTTTCCCATGATGTTGTTTGTTTGTGTTTTCATGATGTTTTATCTTAGCTTGCGTTGCTCCCGACAGACTGGCCATTTGGGTCTTTCAGGTAACTAAATTCCTCCTGAAGTTTAAGGAAACCTTTTTTTTTTTTTTTTTTTTTTTTGCGGTACGCGGGCCTCTCTCTGTTGTGGCCTCTCCCGTTGCGTAGCACAGGCTCCGGACGCGCAGGCTCAGCGGCCATGGCTCACGGGCCCAGCCGCTCCGCGGCATGTGGGATCTTCCCGGACCGGGGCATGAACCCGTGTCCCCTGCATCGGCAGGCGGACTCTCAACCACTGCGCCACCAGGGAAGCCCTAAGGAAACCTTTTATTCTTCAATTTTCAGTTAAAGTTCATTTAAAAATGTTGACTGCCATTTCCCTCTGGCCCTCCCTGTCTCTCCCCAGGAAGTTGCATTTTCTAGAAAAGATTTTCATAAAATAGTTAAAATACAGTGAAACTTGATTTTCTGGAATGCAACTGGCCTGGATGTTTAGTTTGTGTGTTCCTGCCCCTCAACTTTTAGGAATGAAATGCCTCCTAAACATACATAGGCTGAAGATAGAAGTGTATTTAAAAACCAACTTTGAAGGACTGACTTTGGGCCAGGACAGATTTTAGCCCAGTTCCACTGTACATTGATCTTTTAAACTGTGACCGATGACCCAGAGAATGATGAAAGAGATTTAGCTAGAAAAGTAGTTTTTTCATACTAGAAAGTGCCATGATATCTACTCAAAGCATTTTTAGTAAGGAGAGCTGAAATTAAAAGACCTACAGTTCAACAAATGAAATACCTTTTTTGAAATTCACTTGAAGTTTTATTACATTTTGAGTGTTTGATTTAAAATCAGACCTACCCAACAGCGTGAAGGAATTTCCACACACATTATAATGAGCAGACACAGCCAGACACAGCGGCATGTCCCCTGTGTGAGTCTATTTATGTGAATATCAGAACTGGCAAAACTAATCTGTGGGGGGAGAGGTTACAGTAGAGTCCGATTGGCTTTAATTAGGGGCCGTGAGCTGATATACTGCCTGGGATGGGCATGGGAAGCGTTCAGCAATGCTGGAAATCTTCTGCACCTTGATCTGGTAGTGCTTATACAGGAATATGTGTGTGTGAACAGGAAGATACTTATAAAATCAAGGGCAATGAAGTTGGACACACATGAACTTTCGTAGATCAGTTGAGGCTCTTCTTTTATACTTTATAAGAACATTCCCTTACCCTGTTTGTGGCCTTCTGTGTCTCTGTAACTTGAGGCCATATGATGATTTACCTTTTCCAACATTTTATTATGAAAACTCCAAACATACGGCAAAATTGAAATAATTTTACTGGGGACACCCGAATACACACCACCTGGGTTTTACCAGTTAAAATTTTGCTGTATTTGCTTTCTCATATATCTATCAATATGATCAATGTGTTTGTTTTGTTTCCTTACTGTTTATTGTCCACAGAATGAGTTGCTAAGCCACCTACTGGATCACTACATGGGTTGATTCAGTTATTAGCCAGAACGCAAGTAATCAAAGCAGATTAGCTAACCCTCCCTCCCCCTTGATGGTACATCTGGGAACTGTGATACCTGTCAGAGAACGGTGGCTTTGTTTCATATCGTCCTGGCCATTGTCACATCTAAGTCTTCTCAATGTTTTAGTTTTCTCTAGAATTTCTAAAGCATTTGGTCAAATTACAGAAATCGACGACATATATATATATATATATATATATATATATATATATAATATATAGACAAAGCAGAAGCATAGTTTACCTTTTTCGACTGTATCATAACTATGCAGGATGACAGTGGTTTTTGTTCCCTTTAAATTAATGCACTGAATTTAAATTCCACGTCTCTGATTCCAGGGGGCGATTTGCACTATCACCTTTCACAGCATGGGGTGTTTTCTGAGAAGGAGATGCGGTTTTACGCCACAGAAGTCATCCTGGGGCTGGAACACATGCACAATCGGTTTGTCGTTTACAGAGATTTGAAGGTAAGGCCATTGGACAGACTCCTTCCGTTTATCGGACCTGTGCAATAGGTGTTGTATTGCAGTTGTGGTCTAACAGGCGTTTCCACCTCTTTCATGGTATCCTGTCATTTTCCTCGTCTCAGCCCCGATAAAGGCATCACCTTCGTGATGTCGGTCTCCTCCAGACTCTGAACTCTGTTCTAAGGACTCCATCCTACTTGTCCCTGTTACCTCCGTGTCTGGTGCAGCACATATGCCAACTCAGAAGCTTTAATTGGTTAATTAGTGAAAAGCAGGGTAGGGGTGTTTTGTTGTCGCCCATTTTACAATTGACTGTAATTCCATTAATGTTCACTAAGCGACTGATTTGGCTCTGGCTTAGGGTGAGACCCGGAGGCGTACAAAGGTGAACTAGCAGAGAACATATATGTCTTACGGGAAGTATCTACCTGTGAGCTAACACGTCGAAGGGCTGAGTTACAACTCATTTGAGGCAAGCCTGATCCGATCCGGGCAGAGTGGCTGACAGCCTGGAGAGTATCCCCCAAAGGGCACTCTCTCAGCCTCAGATTGTTTTGAATTTGCCTTAAAAAACTCACTAACGGATTTTCAAATCCCTGAACTGCATAGCCCCAGTATTCCATGCTTGGGCTTCTTCACTGTGGTTCTCTTTAAAATCTTACTGGACTTGAAAAAAAGGAAATAAGTGCGTTCTGAGTTTTTCCATTCCAGACCATGATGCTCGGTCCCAGGTTCTGCGTTACGGAGGGAGTTGGGAGTTTGCTTGGTGCGTCCGCGGTGATATTAGTCTAGCCGGCCGCATGAAGGTGGGGGAGGAGGTGAACGGGACCTTGACAAACTGTAGAAATGATCACGCAGATCTGTAAAGGTGTAAATAATGGTGAGAAGAAAGATGACAGCCGTGGCAACTTCCCAAGGAAGTTGGGAGGAGAATGGGTTTGCCTCCTCTCTGCTTCCTTCTTAGCCTGAACCCAGGTTAACCAGCTAAAATGTACACGTGATGCTCCTTTGCTCACGTGTTTTGATTAGCTTTTAAAGGTTACCTCCTAAGAATCTGAAATGGTGTATTTTAGTGTTGGGCATATTATGTTTTTCACAAGGGACTTTGTAACTTTTAAAGCCTCCCGCAAGGTTAAAGAATTACCCCCTTAGCCTTCATATGAACATAAAGTAGAAAAAATTTATTTTCATCACGTTAGAAATAATTAGACACTGGTTGGCACATGACATTTTATTTCCTCATGGTGAGTTTTGCAGAGGAATAAAATGCACACCGAAGGCCCAGGAAGCGCCGTTGTAATACATTTTAATTTAAATCTATAACTGGTTTCTAATCATCTTGATGCAGTATTTTTGTCTTCTAAGCTGTTTAGTAGGCAGTGGTATTATCTAATTTCTATTCAGACTTAATTCTAGTCATTCATGACTATTCATGCTTCAAGTTTATAATGGCACGCCATTATTTTTATTTCAAGCAAAACAATAGCTGATCTCCAGCAGAAAATTATCAAGATGACTGTAATTCAATGTGTAATAGGGAGAGGAGCTTTGTTTTCCACGATTATGCTGACTAAATCTACTCTTAATGGATACATTTCATCAGAGTTGTGGTCAAAATCATATTTGGTCATTTGGTAGGGCCCTCTGTTGATTCTGTACTAATAAACAGAAATGACGTTTATCGGGATTAGTGTGGCACTGTGGAATATTTTGATTTCTTTGGTCACTATTTGTATATTTTTACAAGATTCCTTTCTGTGCTGTGCTTCGTGGCTTCATTCTCTGAAGTCCTAGTAGTTACAGAGGCCAAGGAGCCTGTGGACTCACTCCCTTTGTGGAGAGACTCGCCCCCTTTGTGGAGAGACTCACCATTCTGGCTGGATTGCACTTCTTGCTGTGAAAAAGAAATACTTTAACTCCAATAGACTGTGGTTGTAACCCTTCAGTGTTACCTGCCCTGTGTTCCATCATCAGATGAGTAGAATCCTTCCCATCTGTCATTACCACTTTCCTGCTGAAA